ATTTTTCATCTGTTCGGATTTCCTTGCCGAAAGTCTAGTGATCCGATAATTATAATTTAGTTACCTTTTCAAAAATCTCAGCCAGTGAAAAAAGGCTCCCGAAATATCTAGGTGACCTTTTTAGGGTAAAAATCCGTCAAAAATGGGCAATTATACCATTTTTTAAATGTTCGAAAATCCTAGGAGAGGCAGGCGAGCAAGAAATTTTAAAACAAATGTCCCGAAAACTCTAGATCTCAAATCGTCTTCCGAACAGATATTTTCTGAAAATTGACGTTGGTTGCCCCTGGTTAAAATTTAAAAGTTAAAAAAATTACGGAGTTATTCCCACTAAAATATACAGGAAAATGCTAAAAATATTTCTAAAAATTCTCAAGAACTACAAATAAGACAGGAGCCACAATTTTCACTTACAAGATCCACAAGGTTAATACGCCGACTTAAAGGATTGTAAAGTAGGTTTGTCCTTGATTTTGCTGTCCAATCTGGACATATATATGGTCCAAAGTACCTTATAGAATGTTTCCCGTAACGTACACTATTAAATCTGGGTAAATGAAAATCCATATTTCTTAAGTGATATTTGGATGACTTAACACTAAAAATGTCAAAGACATTACTAGGTACCAAACCATATTCAACTTTATACATTAAGGTAGCAAGATCTTGTAAATGCCTATTTTGCAGGCTAGGTAGATTGGCTCGGTTAATAAGATTAGAGTACTCTTCTGAATGTATGTTATACACAATCCTAAGGGCCCGCTACTGTATTTTTTCAACTTTTCTGGCGTCGGAGGCTTTACAGAAGTGCCATATAAGGTGACAATAAAGTGTTTGTTAAATACAAGGTTTTCGTCGACGTTAACTCCAAGAAAGCTAATGTCCGCAGTACTTTCAATGACATGCGCATTGATTGTTAATGAAGCTTGATCATTATCATTCTGTGAGTTGATCATCAGCAACTGGAATTTATCGGGGTTGACCATAGGATAGTTATCGTTATACCAGGTCAAGGCTTTACCGGCTTCCGAGTCAAGGCGAGCCTTCATGGTATTGGCATTACTCCCCACAGTATAAAGCTGATGGTCGTCGGCATACATGTTTAAATTGGCGTTACTGACCTGATAGGACAGGTCGTTCTGATAGCGATTCCACAGCATAGGACTTGAAATACGATTCTACTTCACCGAAATTTGAATTATGGCGGCAAAGTAGAAAAGCAGAGCTCGACGCTAGTTTTTAGAACCATTATCAAGTGAAATAAAGTAAAGAACCATTCAGATAGACTGATTTGTTCGAAGTTGCCCTTCAACATCGGTCAATGCAGAATGAACATAGTTAACCAGGGAATAAAATTAACTCTTTTTTATAGCTGGAGACACTTGGCTACTTTTTTAAAAAGCATTTTATTTATTTTTTAAATTACAGGGGTCTAAATCCACCACTTTGAACTATAAAAATAATTCAAAGTGGTGGTCAATTCGATTTAGACCGAAGCATTTAAAAAGAAAATAAAAACAAAAACAGAATACTGAATTTCTGTTTCTTAAAGATCGCAAAGCAACTTATATTGCATTTATGGATATTGCATTTAAAGGTCTTCTAACTATCCAAGTGAATACGTTTCTATTTGACGGGGCGATCTACAAATAGCATAATTATTCTTTTCTCGTAAGGAAAGACTTTTCACGCGCAGGGAGAGAATTGCAACAACTGAAAGCTTTTCCGGTGGGGACCGTGGGAGGGCATTGTTTCTCCAGCTCCCGAACAGGCTAACAACATCATCTAATACTGTATTTAGATAATCATTCGGCGTAAATATGGGGCCAATAATTCCATGCAGTAATTTATATTAGTGTTCGTTTCAATCGACTTGCAAATCTGTTCGCCAAACGACCTGAAATGATCTGTCCCCTCCCCGCAAAAATCGACCCCATTTGAAGGGGGAATGGGACACCCAAAACCTTCTGGGAGTTCCGTCCGCCATTTTGTCTTTTTCCTGCACAAACGAGGCGGCCTCCATTTTTGGATTGGGCGTTGCCCTCACGGACAGACCAATAATGAAACAAAACAAGAGGGTTTTTTGGAGATTTCCCTGAGGAAGACAGTACACTAGTTTTTCCTTCAGATTCAAAATATGCTCTAATGCGATGGGAATTGAGGGTTTGAGACCTGATCTTTCATAAGAGAAATCAGCGGAACAATCACCAATACGATGGCATCGCAATCCTCGCCAAATTAACGATCGAAAGCGTATGGAGCCATCTCAAAAGTTAGACTTTCCCCAACTTCGGTTGGAGCAGACACAACCGACAGATATGCTTCCATTGTTTTCCTCTGAATATCCTGTGGCCTTAAGGCCATCTTTTATCGCTTTCGCAATGGACAAGGCGCTTACTTACGTGTGAGTGACAACTTTATACCCAAGGGTCCTAAAGAGCTACTTTGATTGGTCTAAGCGCAGCGACCCGCACCAATCAAGTATGAAAAGTCCTTCGTCGTTCGCCATATAAAATCAGACGAAGGACTCTTTTTAAAGTCTACACACTTCACTGTGTAACTACAAGAGCATTACCGCAAGTATGCGTCACAGCTTTGCAGAAAGGCTTTCAGTACAAAGTATTTTGCGATCCGCAGGTCTTCCGTACATCTTTATACAGGTAGCTTACTGATGAAAAATCCATTACGTAGCTATTCTGAACCCTTCATTATGAGTATTGTTTTCATAATACTCATAACACTGTGAGAGCACTTTTCAGTACTTGCTTAAAACATATTGAAAACTAAAAAAGGGTTCGTTACCAATAAGTGCTATTCATTAAGGATTAACTTAAGAGTCCTATTTGATATCAGATTCTGCAGATACTTGCATAAGCTTCCAAGGATTTGTTTGTTTAGCTGTTCCTAACTCGTTGGCGTTGCTGCCCAACCCACGTAACGATGTTATGTTGTTAACGATGCGGTCAATATCTGTGAAAAGAACAAAACATGCCTTTAGGTGAATTTTGGGGTAATGGAACTTAAATTTAATCCGTTAGATGTGGGTTTCAAGATGCCTTCATCTTAATTAACCGAAAAAACACATAGGAGACATAGGGCGCTTTCCATCCAACAAAAATCCCGGTTTGAAATTTCGGAAATTTCACGTGCTCGATGGAACGGTACATTCCGGTTGCACAGACCCAACCCAAGCCACCGCGCGTCTTGTTATTGTGGCCTTTCTGAAAGAGAACAGTAAATACTGTTTATATCCTAAAGAACACTCGACTGTCGAAAAGGGGCGGTGGAAAACTAAAGGCGCAGGAATCCTATTTCGCGTAGAAAGCCTATGAAAGCAAGTGAAGGTAAAAACTTCTCGTAAATTGAAACGATGCGTTTCTCAGAATATTCGAAGCAATTCCTGGAACTGTACGGTAAATAAATTCGGTGTTTTGGCCAAATTTGTATTCAGCCAGGCTTTGTTGTATTCATTTCAGCTTAATTGATAAATTGCTTTAGTTAAATATCATGGACAGGTTTCAGACAAATAACGCTGATTCACACGGACTTTACACACACTTTTTTCACCTGCGTGTCGTGTTGTGTCAGTTATTTGACACTGTTAGTGGCAAATATAGTACTTGACTTTCCATTGGAAACTACTTGTTCTTGTAAGCGGGATAAAAAAGAGCGGTACTGGGGACAACAATTTTGGCAAATGGAAAGGCACATTTCGGTCCGACCGACCGAAATGACCAGACCGGTCACTGTGGACCACCTTCAAAGCTGGTTCCGAATATTCCGGTCGGACCAAACCGAAATGGTCCGTTCCATTTGATGAACCAACCGAAATTTCCAGAATTTTGGGTTGAATGGAAAGCGCCCATAAACAGTCCAGCCGAGCAATTCATTTGGCCATGCGTCTTCTGAATCTTTATCTAATGGGAGGAAACCGTTGCGTTGAAAAGAATCTACATTAAAAAGTAATTTAAGAGCAGCCTAGATACAGAATCTCCTTTAAAGCTGATTTATGTCAACAAATGCCAAAAATATCTCACCAATGGGATGGAAAAATTCTTTTAGTGACTTCACAACGTCCTCACGCCGTATTTCCATTAGGGCTTTTATAAAGGTCTGTAGTGTTAGATTTTCGACAGCGGAAGAAAGATACTCCATCAATGCTGCTGTTGGGGAATGGTAATCCGCCGGGCATAAGTAATCACACTCTTCTTTGGATACGCCAAAATTCTGAGCGAAAACTTGCCAGTTCTGTGGCGTCTCTTTATCCAGCAGTCTTGTAACTTCTTGCAGGACATCATAACTTTCCAGAAGAGTTTTAATGTCGCTTTCGTCTTCAACAGTTAAAAAAATGAAGGAATTTGATTAGTATAAATGATTTAACAATGCGGTAGTGAGCTAAGTTATAAACACCTTACAGTGAAAAAAAAAGCGTCTAAACTTCAACAGAGGTGAGCCCAGCCAATGTTATCGATAACGACCCACCTCGAGTAATGACGATGGGCCACGACCTACCTGGTGAGCTGAACGAGCAAAATGTAGTCTAACCTGCGATAGAAAAACGCCTGATCGCAAGTTAAATGCATTCTTAACCGTTATAACAGATGAGCCTTCAAGATCTTCTCTTGTTTAAACTCGGTAGCTTATCAAAGGTTTTGCGATTCACGTATTTCTAGTTTTATCTGAGGTATTTTGAGAAGGAGCCTCTGCAGCCTCAGAATAAACAATGACCCTTTTGCCTCATGTTCATGTCAAAACGGTTGTTAAATGTAATAGGCTATAACAAAAATTTTAAATGATATATTTCAATGCATAGTTCCGCGGCTAGCCTATGTTTCGTTCTTACGTAAAAATTTGTACAATTAAATACCGTAAAATTCCGAAAATAAGCCCCTCCATGTATAAGCCCCCCAAACCGGTAACGCAAAAAACCCTCCGTTAAATCGCCCCTCCAAATATAAGCCCCCCGGGGGCTTGTACTCGGAAAATTGCCCTCAAATACA